ATGATTTAGACCTCGAAAGAATAGAATGATATGATTTAGAAATACATTCAGATTAAAATGAACTACGAATATTTACAATATTGGATAGAATCTATGAAAGATATAAATCTATTAGAACAATTAATGGAGGAAAATTTATATATGTACCAAAGAACCCAAGATATGTTATATCTAGAATATATCATAAATAATATTAAAGAAATTTTCAGATTAAATCAACTATCGAAAGAATATTACAATAAATATTATTACATTCTACCATGAATTCCGCAACCCCAAAAAATAATATTAAAGAGATATCAAGATTAAGACACTTATCAAAAGAATATTATAATAAAATCTTTAAAATAAATTACTCACCTACCACACTATCACCTACCACACTACCACTTCCATGAATTCCTCAACTACCTGTTCCGCACCGAAAAATGGTATGTTTCCGTCTTTTAAAGTGTGGAGGCGTCCAAAATAGACGGAGAGATTTCTTTATTGACCAATTTAAATTTGTAACTAGTTAATATCATAATAAGGTTAACAACAAAAATAACATATAAATCACTCAAAAAGAATAACTAAAAAAACTCATCAAAAATCACGAATTTTTAGATTAGTCCACTAATAACATAACATCAATACAAGAGACGAAATAATCAATGAAACATCAATAAACTGTGAGTTAAGAGAGTAAAAATTGATATAAAAATGAGGAAAACTACAATAAAAATAGAGAAACCAATAAACATAACGACCACACATATTTTAATATATAAATTTAAAATCTGAAAATTTAAACAAGAGGTAATAACAATGAGACAAACAAACAAAAGAAAAGAAATTATGGCATTCTAGCTAACACGTGTATCCCATCTAATAAAAATAATATAAAACCAATACCCAATAATAATGAGCGAAAACAAATTATAAACTAAATCTAACAGAGAATTCTAAACCTATCATGAACATTGAAACAACCATTAATATAATTAAAGAGAACATCACAAATAATAAACTAAAAAGAGATACATTCATCATGGAGTAAGATAGAGCAAGAATTAAATTACTTAATGTTAAACAACCAACCAATTTAAGAAAATGAAAACAGAGATATAAATATTAATCATCATTAAGAACTAAATTAAGGGGTCAGATTTGGATTATCACCACAGTTGGGCGTTGTGGAGTTGTTGTTGTAGTGTCACTACAAAAAAACACCTAAATCGTGGGGGTTTCAAAGCGGAGGTTAACAGCAACCCCCAAAAATTACATTAAATAACGGGGGTTTGGTAGCTGACGCAAAATAAAAGTAAACATCGGGGATTTAAAACCCCCAGATTTTTTTTAAAGTAAATACCAAGGGTTTAAACACCTGCTATCTCAAAATACAATTTTTATTTCAAAATATAAAACATATATTTTTAATTCATGAAATAAAAAACACTCACAGCTTTTGGAAATAGGTAATTTAATAAATAGCTATTTTTAATTTAATTACAAAATATAAAATAGACACAGCTTTTGGAAACTTCACTCCTTCCAAATTACTCTCACTGTCACACTTCTCTCACCGCCACACTTCTCTACAGCTGCACTTCTATACAGCGGCACTTCTCCGCCGTCTACAACGACACTTCTCCACCATCTGCAACAGCGGCACGTCTCCTCACAACTCTGTAAACTTCAGCTACTCACCAGATTCAAAATGGGATAGGTGTTCTAGGGTAATGTTTTCCACTTCTCACCTCTTTGAATAATGAACGTACCTCACATTTTTGGATTTTCTCATTTGAATCTTAACAAATTGTACAAATTACTGGTTGTATTTACTAGATACGTTTGGTTTTTGGCTGTTTGTATAGATGCATGGAGGTAGAATTAGGTTAATTTTGTTGTATTCTTCATGGATGAAAAATTCGAAATATCAAATTTGAGCATGTATTTTGTGGTAGAAGAATATCTACAATGATGTTCTACTTTTTCTTTATCATACCTATATTTTAAGACTCCTCCATTACTTTTTTCACTGGCGTCTAATTCTACTATATAAGTAAATTTTTTGTTTTTATCCAGAAAATTTAGTTTAGCTAGGTTCTTACATAATAGTTTTATTTTTTGTATTTGTGTTTGGTCTTTTTTATCAAACTGGTATTCTACATCTTTCTTTAATTTTTGTTGTAATAGTTTTAAATTCTCTGCTAATTTTGGTATGTATTCTCTTACTTGATTTACTAGTCCTATAAATGATTGTAATTTCTTTTTTGTTATCTAGTTGTTCATTTGAGTTAATTATTTTTTGTACTATGTGTGTTTGCATTTTCATTCCATTCTTATCTATTTGTATTCCTATAAATTATATTTGCTTTTTCATTATGTCTGCTTTCTTTTTACTTAAGCTTATGCCCGAATATTCTATGATATATATGAATTTTTCTAATAATCTTATGTGTTCATCTTGGGTTTTGGAATATAATAATATATCATCAATGTACACTACACAATTTTCTATTTGTTTAAAGTAATTGTCCATAAAGTGTTGATATCTACCTGGTACATTTTTATATCCAAATGGTAATACATTCCATTCATAAAATCCTTGCGTACCGTAAATGCCGTAAATTTTTTAGATTCTTCTTCTAACTTTAAGTGGTAAAATCCTGATTTGCAGTCAAATTTACTAAAGTAATTATATCCTTGTATTTGTCTTATCTTTAGTATTTTATTTGGTATCGGATAATTATATGTTTTAGTTTTTGCATTTAAATTTCTATAATCAATAACCATTCTACTTTTTCCTCTTTTTTGTTCACTATGTTTATTTACTATAAATGCTGGGCTTGTATGCTTTCTATTGTTTTCTTGTATGTACCATTTTTCTAGTAATTCACTTATATGTATCTTAAATTCTATTAAATTATTCAAATTATATTTTAATGGTTTTTGGGTTATTATACTATTATTATCAATTAGCTCAATTTTTACTTTTGTTTTATGTTTTTCCCATCCTTGTAAAGGATCTTCACTATATAATAATTCTAACGTTTTATGTTTTTTTTCCATCCTTGTAAAGGATCTTCACTATATAATAATTCTAACTTATCTTGGATTATTTTTACTTTATC